CCCTTTGACCTTCTCCCTACTGGTGTTTGCCTCATTATATATTTTTTGGTGTTTCAGTCTCCAACATTTGTTCAACATGGCCCATCCAGGGCAGACGTCCGATCTTTATGGATGTTAGGAACTCGGGTTCATTGTATGCTGTGTATATTTCAAAATTATATCTTCTGCGCAATATGCCATTTTCTTTCACCCCCTTATATATGGGTCTAAGGATTTTTCGTTCAAACCTACCTAATACGTTCTCATCGCTTTTCGACAGTGTCCATGTCTCTGATCCATATACAAGGACCAGTTTTATCAGGGTTTTGTATATTTTGCATTTGGTTTTCCTTGTGATGTTGTTAGATCTTAGATATTTAATTAGTCCATTGTATGTTTTATTAGCGATATGTATTCTTCTCTTAACTTCTTCACTGACATTGTTATCTACGGTAACTAGTGAACCCAGATATGTAAAATTTTTCACGCATTCTGTAGGTTTCTTTGGCCTGTCGATTTGCTGGCCTTCGTGTATTTGGTTTTTATTTCTTGAATGTTTAGGCCACTGTTTTGTGCCGCTCTATTATCTCTCTTTTGCTTCTAGGTGTGATATCAACATCATATACAAATGCCAATATTTGTCCACTTTTTGTTATTTTTGTTCCTCTGGTGTTGACTTTTGACTCTAATTATTTTCTCTAATGTGATGTTGAATAGAATACAGAATAAAGCACCTCCCTGCCGTAGGCCCGTTAATTCGAATTTTGCTTTGTACTTTAAGTGTTTCATTTACTATATGAATGAATTGAGTTGGAATATTAAACTCTTAGTGCATGCATCAGAAATTCTCGATGGATGCTATCATAGGTACTCTCAAAATCAATGAAAAGATGATGTGTGTCTATATTAAATAGTCTTCTCCAAGATTTGCCTCAAGACGAAGATCTGATCTATGGTGGACTTCTGCCTGCAGAAACCACATTGATATCCCCCAACTATTTGTTCAGCGTATCGTCTCAGTCGGTCATACACAATATTTGACAGTATTTTATATGCCACAGTTAGTAACGTTATTGCCCGGTAGTTTCTATATTGAAGCTGATCTCCCTTTTTATGTAGTGGGATAATAACTCCGGTATTCCAGTCTTGTGGCAGTTGTGTATTATTCTATATGTTCACTATTAGCTCGTGTATCGAATTCAATAGGGAATCTCCGCCTTCCTTTATTAATTCTGCGCTAATGTTGTCTAGTCCAGGTGACTTGTTGTTTTTCAGTCTGGTAACTGCTTCTTGCATTTCAGCTACTAACGGGGGGGTTGTTTCTCTGGTATCCGTTTGATCCAGTATAATTCCATCATATAGTGGATCTTCGTTTTTTTCAAACTTTTCTTTGAAGAATTTTGTCCATCTTTATAGTATTTCACTCTGTTGAATTACTATATCTCCTTCTTTGTCTTTTGCACATCATTGCTCTTGGTTTAAATTCTTTTCTGCTTTTGTTAAATTTTTGGTAAAATGTTCTGGTTTCTGATGGTTTATTTAGTTCTTCCATTTCTTGGAGTTCTTTTTCTATGTGTTCTCTTCTCTTTCTGCGATGTATTTTCTTCTCTTCCCTCCTGAGCATTCTATATTCCTCCTCTGCATATCGTGTTCTATGTCGGTGTTGTAGTCGTTGATATTGCATCTTGGACAATGCACTCTCCCAAAAATAGGCATTTTTCCAATAAGAAATTTGTGGGATTTGATGTATACATTATTGGAATGGCATCCTTATGTGCCATCTAACGTGCTATTGTTGGAAAAAAATTCGACAAAGCGTTATATAACTAAAAAGAGTCAACTGTGTCATCACTGGTGTTTCTCCTTTTTTTTATATGTTTAGGAAGAAATATTTAACGTTTTATTGCAAATATTTTCCACTTTTACAGTTTTATATATATTGTTATTAAATTTTTTTCCAATTTATTACCAGTAGCTTTAATTTAAACAGAAATATATTATTTTTTCCTATTGCAACCAAACTGTATATTCAAAAATTTTCAAAAAATTCGTAAGCTTTTCTTAGAATTATATCTTTATGCTTTAAGAAAATTAATAAAATCGTATGTTTGGTTTTCTCGTTTTGTACTTGGAAAAAAGTAGTTTTTTAAGTTGTTCTCGAAAACGAAAATATGAAGTTTGCCTAAAATTTCTCAAACTTTATCTCGGCAGCTATACATTTAGAAAAATTTTGTGTTGACAAAATAGTACTGCAATTAAATTTCCTACAAGCTAGAATTAATTACAAATGAAAAAAATATTATGGTTGCAAAATTAACAAAAATCATTAAAAAGAGTCAAAATTCGATGTTTCTTCAATCATCTTTTTTTATGTATTTGAAAGCCATATAGAATCTTTAAACCGAAAATCTTTGTAGTATACAAAAAACACTACACAAAATTCCAGCACAATCAATCAAGCAGTTTTTGCAAAATAATTTTGAAAACTAAATTTTTAAAAAGAATGATCAATTTTCAAAATTATGCTGTGCCAACAAAAAAACTTGCAAATGACTGAAATTTTTTTGTTTACCGTAAAAGGGCATTCAGGCTTTTGAGTAAAATTCGAATCAATGAAATCCGTTGAATAGAAATGCTTAAGGATTTTTTAAGCAACTGTACAATTTTTAAGCTAATACAATACAAGCTAACAAATAGAATAACTTTTTCAATTTGCAAATAGCATTTTTTTCCAAACTTATATTGTAAGTTTAGTGACGAAATTAATACAAAATATTAATAAAAGGCTTAGTAATATTTTTGGATTTAATAAAAATAAAATTATATGACGGTATTCTCAAATTCAAGTTAATTTCATATAGCCAAATGAATTACCCTCGAATAAAGTCGACCCACGAACGCACCCTTAAAATATTACGAATGAAACGGATAAATTAAACTCCTAAAACTCTTCCCTAAAACGTTTAAATTCTGCGTTTTTTAGTCATATTTGAAATGTCTTGTGTTAAATCAAAAACTACACAAGAAAGCCCTGAAATTACTATTTCCACCACCAGAGAAATTACCACCACTTACACAAATATACTAAAAACAACAAGAGCCCAAATAAAAAACACTTACACACTGGTGTATACAAACTTAAATGTAGTGATTGTCCAAAAACTTACATCGGTCAAACTGGTAGAACTTTTAACCAACGTATAGCAGAACATAAAAGGGCTTTAAATAATAGAAAAACAAAATCTACATACGCACTTCACCTTCTAGATCATAATCATTTTTTTAACGACGAATTTCAAATTCTTTACATCCAAAAATAAAGGCCTCAAGCTATCTTTATTAGAATCTATGGAAATTAACAAACTAAAAACACAGTCATAATTCTGAATGACCACAAACACTTCTTCCCTCCTAAACCTATTTCATTAAAGACTATAAAGTGTAAATACATACCAAAAATTGATTACTTGAGAAAGACACTCTGCCGAAACACCTGTAGTGATAAGATTTTAATAGACAATTATGTGGAAGTTTTGAAAACAAGATTTTTAGTGTTTAATTGATATATAAATAATTATGTGTGGAAATTTAACCATGTTTTACAGATTGTAGCCTCGGTGTAGAACAAGGCGACGGACCTGTCTGTTATGCCAGGATACCAGTATTTAGATGGAGCAACGCTGAGAAAAAATGTGTCCAAGATTTCTACGGAGGCTGTCGTGCGACCAAAAACAACTTCAACACTGAACAAGATTGTGTAAAAACGGCAACTCCAGTTTGTTCCAATTGATTGTACATTGATGTTTTATATACAAATACAATAAAAATTGTTTTGAAATGTTTAGTTTTTATTTACTTTGAGTGATAGTTTACTGAAAAATCCATGAAATACGAAAGATAGGAAGAGCAACGATTTGATCCAAAATAGATTTGACAAAAATATAAATTATACTGAGTTTCTTCTCCGTTAACAGTTTATTATTCGTTATAAATGTCCTATATCCTTGTTTCTTGCCGACGCAAAGTGGTATTTTACATAAAAAGCTGGCGGTGTCTAAAGTAAGTAGTTATATGTGACGCTATCTGGTGCTATCCCCTCCCCAAATAACTAAACCAAACAAATTTGACAGCTGTCACAGGCTGGATCAGAAGCCTGGACTATAAAGGCCAATGTGATGAACCGATTGGAGGACTTTGAAATGTTGGTATTTAGAAGACTACTTAAAATTCCCTGGACAGATCACACAACAGATCTCGAAGTATTAAATTGAATGGGCAGAGAACGAGAATTGCTGCCAATAATAATAAGAAGAAAAATTGCTTATCTGGGTCATACATTTCAGTTCCAAGTACTAGTTCTTAAAGCTTATTATGAAAGGGAATATAGAAGGAAAACGGGGCATCGGAAGAAAGAAATTCACATGGCTTAAAAACATAAGGAATTGAATAGGGCACCATAAGAAGAAGAAGACTTACTTTTTTGTTATATATTTTTTAATTCATATAATTTATTATTTTGTTAACATTCCTATTACATTATTAGTTTACTGTCGACCTTTTTTCCGAACTCTTATGAGGTAGAGTCTGGAGGCGCGTTTATTAAAGTGACCTACTTCACTGACAATTTCCAGGCGAGATAATATTAATCATAATTGTATATTTAAAGGTTCTTTTCCAGCTACTATTTTTTTTTGTTTTCTTTGATGGTCTAGGCTGCGGTTCAGGATTTAAGTCAGTATCGAAGGTGAAAGTTTGCGAAAGAACGGAAGTTAGAATTGGTAGCACTGTCCAGTAACAGTGTCAGAAACTGGCATTGAACAATTTTTCCTAAATGTTTTTTTACTGTCATTAACATTTATTTTCCGATTTCCATTGCACAAATTGTTAATGGCATCACTTAACAAATTATTTTTATTAAATCTCGACATAATACCCTTGTTTTGATAAAGAAAGGTCAACTAATGACACGAGATAATAAACTTATACTCTTCGACAACAGAAAAAAAGCAGTAATATTAGAGAAAATTTCCAACTTACAACAATGAAGTTCATAGTAGTGTTAGCGATTGTGATCAATGTTTCTGTAGTACTAGGAGTTAGCATTAAAAACCCCAAAGGTGGAGATGATGACTGGATCATTGTTGAGCATTCTACGGAAAGTGCACAAGCCATGGCAGCTAGATCATACCAACAATCCGGTAAATATAAGCAACTACTCTACTATATAAGGATACTAATAGGTGATATTAAATATACCACATCTTTGACACTAATTTGTTACCAAAAGGATCGTCTCTTTTAATTTATATTGTAATTTATGCCAAAAAATATTTGTGACCTACTTGTACCACTTTGATGTCATTATACCATGAATCAATGGATGTCTTTGCTATAAAGACAACGTCTTGCCATTGTTTCATTAATTACAAATCTTATTGCATGCATGAAAAGGGAGATATAACAGAGCTAAAGACTATAGACTTATTAGCTTTTTATCTCACGTTTATAAGATGTTTATGAAGATAATAACTAATAGGTTGACTAATAGGTTAATCAAAACTAGACTTCTATCAACCGTGCGAGCAAGCAGAATTTTGAGTTGGATACGAAACAAAAAATCATTTGCAAACCAATAAGTCGTTAATTGAAAAAACCATTGAATATAATAGACCCCTGATACTTGTCTTTGTCGATTTTGAAAAAGCATTTGATACCGTCAATCAAAGTGAAATGCTCCAAGCTCTAACACAATGTAGAATAGATCATCGATACATATCCCTCATCAGATACATCTATCAGTATGATGCAGCCTGTGTAAGACTTAATGAAGATACTGGGACCTTTAGGGACCACAGATAATGCTCCAAGAACTCCATAGTGCCACAAAAAGAGTTGATCTTAAAATAAATTTTTCAAAAACACAATTTATGACAAATTTAGTCCACAACAAAAACATCTCAGTAGAAGACAAAGATATTGAGCCAGTTGACTCCTATAAATACTTGGGCCATGAGATCATAATAAGTCGAGACAACCAAACAATCGAGCTGAAAAGAAGAATAAACCTCGCTTGGGCTGCATTTGGAAAGTTAAAGGATATTTTTAGGTCTAAGATTGTGTCTGAAAAGAAAAGTATTTAATCAGTGTATTTTGCCAGTGATGATCTACGGCGCAGAAACCCTAACACTCACAAGAACAGTGACTAAACTACAAGTTGCCGAAAGGGCAATGGAGAGAATAATAGGGATTTCTCTGCGTGATAGAATACCCAATACTACTATACGCAAAGAATCAGGAGTAGCAGACGTTATTGCAAGGATAACAACACTAAAGTGGAACTGGGCAGGTCATGTAGCAAGATCAGTTGATGACCAGTGGACAAAAAGAATTTTGGAATGGAGACCCAGAATACAAGCTAAGAGAAATAGAGGTCGACCCCCAACAAGATAGACAGATGACATAAAAAGAGTGATTACAAATTGGATTCAGATGGCGCAAAATCGGACTTAGCGGAAAAGCATGCGAGAGGCCTATGTTCAGCAGTGGACGTTAAAGGCTAGTTGATAATGATAACACTTATTACATAATAATCGTTGATAAATTAAATAGTACTTAGTTGATGTTTTAACGAGATTCACATTTCGACAATAAGTTAACTCTTCTAATTTCGTTGTTTACCCTTTTTATAATCGTCCTTGTCTATGACAATATCGGTTAGCTTTGTTATGCATGTGTAAGCAAGACCACGTTTGAATTACTTGCAATTATGCAAACTCAGGTATTTTATTAAACTTGACACACTACATGTCTCCCCGATTCTGAGTGAGAACAATTCCAATTCATAATGTAAAATTTTACTAATAGTATTTATGAATTTTAATATCTTATCCTATTTACTTTATTATTTCTTGCAGATTGTTCCGATGCCGTAGAACGTAGATCTATAGCTACCTGTTTGGCAAGAAAAACAGTCTGGACATGGGATGTCTTAGCCAATAAATGCGTTACCGCTTTCTATACAGGATGCAACGCCACCAAGAATAATTTTGTAACTGAAGCGGAGTGTTTAAGAGTGGCAAAACCAGTTTGCTTCAATCTTGTAAACCGTAGATCTTAACATAAATAAAAGATTGTTCAAATTAATAAAAACGTCAGTTTGTTTGCAAAAAAAGTTCTAGTTTCATAGTATACTTTTAGATTTATCAGATCAGAAAGAAACGTATTTAGAATACGAGAGATGTCCACTTTGAATAGTTGTATTTTGACTATTCATATACTAAAAAGCAATTAGTAGAGAGTGATCATAGTATACGTATAAAATTATTCAGACCTGAGGAGGAAGAACATAAGCTTTTAACAACAACATAGTCCCCAAACTCCAAGTGGCTCAAAAAACTATGGAATGGAGCTATTAGGGAGCTATTAAGCTCAGCGATCGTTAAGTCCAATGAAGAAATAAGAAGACGAACAAAAGTTACAGATGCAATGCACAAGATTGTCATGTTAAAATGGAATTGGGTAGGACACATAGGAAGAATGGAAGACAACCGTTGAACGAAGCTAATTATTGAATGGCGACCAAGAGCAAACAAGAGCAAAAAACAACAAACAGAAATGAATGAAGAAATATAAGGGAGGCTTACATTAGACGATGGATGGAATAGCTTTTGATGATGATAATGATACACAAATTTAAAAGCAATTTGTTGTTGAAAATTGTTACACTTTAACATAATTGAAGCCAAAGGTATTTCCATAAAACCACATTGTGAAATGTTCATTATGTATGAAGAAAGGAATGAAAAATAATAAGAAAACTACATACAACATTGAAGCAATATGACGTTGAATAGAATCATCTTAGAAACAGTTACAAATTTAAAACAACCCGGATTTAAAGGTTCAAACTCACTGTTTTCGTTGGACTATTACGACATTGATAACCCCTCAAATATATCATTCAAAAACACCAACAATATCTTTGAAAATAATAATCGCATGTTTTAGTGATGATTCCAAAAACAAACAGATACAACAAAGTAATTATATCAACAAATATTGTTTTGAAAAAATTTTGTGATTGTGTGCTTATATAATAACCGTCCAATTTAGAGCAGTGTTAATACGTTGTAGAGTATAGTCGACTGATCTACAAATATCAAAATGGTGCATCTGTTAACTGTGTCTATCTTTGCAATCTTATGCTGTAACAATGTTCTTGGTGTGGTAAATGACGATGGAAACAATGCTAACCATCTTCAATTCTCTCCTATACAATTTACAACTGAAAGTTACGACCAACTTCAAGCAAGACCATTCAAGCAAAGTGGTAAGTTACCATATAGTTGTATAATACAAAGAAAGGTTTCGTATTCAGAATTACGAGAGTCTTTGCACTTTTTGCAACTCTGTATTTGTCTTTTATTGCATTGATTTGTCTCGCCAAACTAAAGCAGCAATTTCTCCTGAATATTGCCGGGGTCGTAGACGGAAATGTAGAGAAAATGTTGCATCCTATTAAAGAGGTAATACGTATGGATGTAAGCGAAGAAGTACGGCAATTGATAGTGAAAAAAGAAAAGAAAGAATATATGATGCATATGTCTTCAATTTTTAAAATTTTTAAAATTACTGGATTTTTGAGTTGGCTGAAACTCTAGTGAAATAGGAAGAGAGTAAAGTATAATTGACGTCGTATGAAAAGAGGAGGTTCCAAAGCTTCAATACACATGCTTTCGGCGGGGCCAGACCGAAATGCACCTAGACATATACGTAAAGAGGTCGTTTGTATTGAGTTTAGGAATTTTAGATAAGTATTATAGGCGATCATGTAGAGCATGCATCGTTAATCTAATCGAGAGTGAATAAGAGCTCTATAGATGTAACATATTTTTTTCAGCTCCCCATTGATGATGTGCTAGTGTTTTCAATATGTTTAGTTTACCAGCATAGTTGTCCTTTAGATTTTTTAAGTGTATTTTCCAGTGTAACTTCTGATCGAATATTAGATCCAAGATTTTATGATTATTTACTGTAGGTAAAGGAACATCGTTCAGTTATATTTCCGGGTTTTGAACGCTTTGCTTCTTGGTAAATCTTAGAACTTAGATTTTGAGCTGGAACGTTTGATATCGTGTTGTGTGGACCAAGAATATATGTTGTTTACATCATTTTGAATTTTTTTACAAAAATTGAAGGTATATATGGGTAGATATGAGTTAAATCTCATTTATGCCGTTTGTTTTCAGCAGAAATATTTAAAAATATATTTATTTTTGTTTTTGTAGATTGCAACATGGGAACCGAACAATTTAGTCTCGTAAAGTGTATGGCTTTAATAAGAGTTTGGAGATGGAGTTCAATCGACAACAGATGCGTTACCGATATATACACTGGATGTCACGCTAGCAAGAACAACTTCGGAACTGAAGCAAAATGTTTAGAAGTTGCCAAACCCATATGTGGCCACTAAAGTCCGTTTTGAGGTGAAATATAACATTTGTATATCTATACTTTTGACTGTAATATATTTTTAACATTATTTCTACATTTCATTTCATCTTTTAATTAATTATAATATAAAGAATCAAACAAAAATCACATGGTTTCGTTCTCCTCAATCTTTGAATCTGATTTTTTTATTATATGGTTTCTAAAACGTGCGAATGCTGAAAAATACGAAAGTACTTACCAAGAAATTGCGAAAAAAATTGAACACTTACCTGAAACAAAAAAAAAACATTAATTTCAAATTATTTCCTATGATAATATAATATAACCGAATATTCGAGTACGAATTGACCGAATGTGCAGAAACTTTGCACAGTCCATATTTATAGAATTGTCGAAGGAATTTTCAATTGGTTGACTCGTTCTTGTTTTATACGAAAAAAATGTTTTAAAAACGATGAGAATCAAGAAAAATGCTAAAGAATATTAGACGAACATTCACTCATACTTATTTCAAAACTATAAAGCTCATTTTTTTTTCAATTCCTTCGTTCAATTGCGAAACAATATTATAAAGATGCACGTGCAAAGTTTCAGCAAAATCGGTCTATTATACTTTCATATGGCATAAAAAATTAATCGATATTTTCATCGATCACATCCTACAAATTAAGATCATCTATACACCCACGTGAAGCTATATACGGGGTGAGTCATGAGGAACTTTACATACTTCTACTATATGTAGAGTCCCTCAGGGAGCATATCATGTGGCCACTAAAAAATGTCAACTCCTCTTCTTTATTAATTAACAGGGTGATTTGTGTAATTGATCATTTATTTCATTTTACTGTAGTGTTTATACGGCTTATTTGATTTTTTTAATTTTTGCATAATACAGTACACTACTATCAAGCATTCGACTGGTATTGGCTAAACTAAAAAATTCCAGGACTGGCTTTGGAAAAATTAATTTAGGGATTCGTATTAAATATTACACCCTGTATATATTTTTTTTTAAAATGCAATAAGTGATTTTCAAACTACATAACTAGCCAATGAAAACGACATATGCGACAATGTTGTCGCACTTTTATTAAATTTTTAGTGAACGATCAAATCTTACCAAAAATAGAACAACCATAATGAAGTATCAAATTATAAGGTATTAATTTAAACAAATGTTATAAATTTCAAACATTTTAATTAAAATGATAAACTGAGTCACTGCACAACAAAAAACAGTAACTACTAACAATAACGAAGAACAATTTTAAAAAAACTAAAAATATGTACATAGTTATGATAAACCCATAAATTAGAACTGGAAAAGATACAATAATGGTAACAAAATAAAAATAATTCAAAATAGATTTTCGAAATGGAACCCTGCAGCCTGTACACATTTTTGTTGCCGAATTGTTAATTGACGTATTGAATTACGGATACTCTGGGGATCGTTTCTAATAGTATTATAACAATTTATAATTCTATCAATTAATTGTTGTCGGTTATTAATATTCACTGCGTAAACTAGTTGCTTCAATCGTCCCCAAATATGGTAATCAACGGGATTGAAATCAGGGGATCTTGAAAGCCACGAAATAGGACCTGCACGTCCTATCCACCTGTTGCCATAAAGATTATTGAGATGTTGTCTCACTGCCAGTAAAAAGTGTGGGGGTGCCCCATCATGCTGAAAATACATCCCTCGGATAGCAACGTTCGCGTTTGCAAGCAAATTCGGCAAAATATTTTGCAGAAAGTTCAAATAGACCTGCCCTGTTAAAGGACCATCAAAAAAGTGAGGACCTACTAATTGGTTATTTATGAAACCAATCCACATGTTAACCGAAAACCTTAACTGAGAACGACGTTCTCGAATAGCATGGGGATTTTCTTCTGCCCACACATGTGAATTTAGTGTTAATTAATAAAGAAGAGGAGTTGACATTTTTTAGTGGCCACATGATATGCTCCCTGAGGGACTCTACATATGGTAGAAGTATGTAAAGTTCCTCATGACTCACCCTGTATATATGATGGAAAGGAAGTAACCGTAGCTTTTCATAGAAAGATCCTTATGACTGGTAAAAAAAATAAAAATCCAAAACATGTCACAAACAAATTAAAACTCATTAGTAGATAATAAAACTAAAATTTGTGTACTTAATGAATCATAAAGATCGGTTCGTTTTATTATCAACTAAACTGAATTCAGATGAAACTATGAGACACTTTTTATTGACAAACATCTCTTGAAATTATCAGGAAAATTTTGGGTTTTTAAGTGAACAAATCGATCATAGTTGCGTACCATATTTACTTAATAGATGATAAGAAATTCCGAACTGAGGACGCAAAAATTATGTCAACAGTTTTATCGTATATATTTCTATAACGATTTATTGATGTCGTTAATCTAGTGAGGAAGCTGGCACCAAAACAAGCCGTTAAAAAAATTGTGTTTGATACAGACAAGATGGTTTATCTTCGAACGGTGATATTAGTTGTTTTGTTGGTGATCGGTTGTTCGTTGCAAGACAATAGGAGGCAACAACGACCGGAGACAATTGCAGAATTGGCAGCCAGACCATTTCTACACAAAGGTAAATTATTTACTTTATGGCGTTAGCGCGTCTTATTTTGTGGATTTTACGGTTTTTTTAATTACTGTCTACATTGTAGATTTCAATTTAGTATAAAATTTAC